CCGGTGACAGGTGCGACTTCCGTTGTGCGTACACCACCCCACTATAGCGCTAGGAAGGACCCTTCAGACGAGTATGACGAAGACGACGATGATGCCCTAGGCTTCCACGTACACCACCACCAGCGGGACCCTTGGCAAGCAGATGAGATTGGCATGTCTCAGCTAGGTGGTGTCTCGTTTGGTACCCAAGGAGACGAGCAGGTACTAACAAAGCTACATTTTTAAATACATAGCATGTCTGGACTAACAATGCTAAAGATTGTAACTAATCTTGCCTGTTTTATACTTGCAAGGTACCAGTGACGCGCAACAGTTCCACCCACAGCCCCGCCAACGCGACCGCATGGACGTTGGGTACACTCCTAATGTGTTGCCTATAAATCCGAAGAGACAGAGGCGTCCGAGGGACCTGTTCACTCCTGGGATGTAGGGTCTATACTTAGACTTATTTTGGAGTTCATGGAGTTGTTGCACTTGTGGTTGAAAACTTATGTTGCTGAACTTGTGGTTGAAGACTTTCGTACCAATTTGTAAACTTAATTAAGTTATGAACTTGTGCACTTAGTCGACTTATTTGCTTCATGTCGAACTCATGTCGAACAAATCTTATCATGTCGAATGAATCTTATCATATGGAACTTATTTTGGAGTTCATGGAGTTGTTGCACTTATTTTGGAGTTCATGGTCTTATGTAGGAATTTGTAAACTTGTGCACTTGGTCGACTTATTTGCTTCAAATTCGTTTAAACTGTGTTGAGCCTGCATCAGTGCTTATATTGACGTGTCGTGGAGGCTGCTGCTCAGCTTCGGTCTGCTGGAAACAGTGTCCAGGCTTTGTCGCGCTATGGAGGATGGCGCGTCAGGCTTGCCGCGCCATCAGCCGTGGCGCGTCAGTTTGTTGTGTTGTTTGCCCTGGCGTGTCTGGCTTGCTGCGCCGCTGGTGGAGGCGCGACAGACTTTGGGCCAGACTGAGCGCAACACATGCCTTACATAACTAGTTTGATTGGTTTGCTACTGCACTTTGAGTTTAAAAAAATTAAAACAGTGCTGTCACGAGACATATAGAGGTGTCCTCTAGTTTGAGTGTTTGACTAAATGCCGCAACCTAGAGCGAAGCCTCTCCTCTTTGATTTTTTTTCTGAGAATAACAAAGCTCAAAGTCCGTGTGTGATATAATACAAAGACCCACATATACGGCTATACTATTATATGAAATATAATACAAAGTAGCCCACTTAATTGACCCCTGCCAATATAGTAAAAAAATTAAAATAACATCTCTAACCAACATCTAAGTTACTCATATACGTTATTATTATAAAAACTTGGGTTATAGTGACTATTAGTTGGGTGACAAACGGATAGAATGAAGATACTTGCTTAAGATCGAACATGGGTAGTCCGAGTACATGGAAACAGTGTTGAAACAGTGTTCGATACATCGGTAGAATACATCAATAGTTCAAATGAAACACTCTTCTTCGTGACCACTTCGAAAGCACTTAGACTACTCATTGAAAGTTCAAACACATCAATAGTTCAAATGAAACACAATACAACACAATGAAAGTTCTAGTACATAACAACATTGTTCATTAATAAAGCATGGAACTACCAAATCTAAAACATGGAACTAACACATGGCGCAATCAGAAATCTCCAGTCAGAAACATACTAAGTAAGCAAGTCATCGTCCGAGTACCAATCCTCTATCACAACCTCGTTGATGTGGCTAGGCTCACCTGCATTGTCCTGATCTGCTTGTCGCCTGTAGTAAGCGGCCCTCCGCTTCATCTGCGGCCTGAGACAAGAATTCATTCTCCTCCACCTCGTTCATGTGGCTAGGCTCACCTGCATTGCCCTGATCTGCCTATCGCCTATAGTAAGTGGCCTCCGCTTCATCTGTGGCCTCTGTGGCATGAGAGAAGAACACGTCCTCCTCTGCCTGCAAGCCTGCCTCTGCTAGAGCAATGAGGTCACTCAGTCTACCAGTGTCATCCTTATCCTCCTCCGCCTGCAAGCCCGCCTCCGATAGAGCGATGAGATCGCTCAACCTGGCAGAGTCGTCCTCATCATCGTCCCCCTCATCGGCCACCACAATCAGAGATTGAACGGTGCAACCAGCTCGTGTTCTGTGCTCATGTAACTTCTTTTCCTGAAACCTTGCATGGGCCACCTCTACGGCATGGTCCTCGTTGCATCCAATCCCTTTATGTATAAAATGCAACCAATTAGCAACATGATTATATTACATTTAAAAGCAGGCAACGAAAATAACAATGCTTTCAATCACCCACTAGCACACAATGCAACAACATGGTCGTTCAAAACCTGCATCTGTACTCTTGCCTCCTCTCTTGCCTTCTTCCTTGCCCTCTCCTCCTCTGCCTTCCTTCGTCTCTCCAATCCCTATTTGTCAAGCCTAACACGATCGGGTTACGAAAACCGCGCTATCTAGCAAACTCACGCATCTTCTTCACGTGGTCTTTAACGAAGAGGTCGACGAACTGATGTCCATAACCAAACTTCCATGCAATTACTTGATTTATTTTGATTTCATCCAAGAACTTAGCTTGACCATCATAAGACTCCCACTTGCATTTCCTAGTGCTCTGTTCAAACGAAAAATTAGATTATAAGTCTTCACAGTAGAAAAATATGATTTCATGTTTTCCACAACAATGACCAACCTCATCATAGTCAACCATATGGCCACACCAATGGCCTATTCCAAGCTCCGAAGGGACTAGGCCGTAGTTGGCTTTGACACCACATTCGCACATGACAGGAGGTGCTTCGATGATTATCCTTTCTTTTTTCTTTTCCTTTGCCTTTGGTGGCTCCAGCCATTGATTCTTAGGACCATAGAGCCACTCCTTGAAATGACACTTCACAAATCCAAAGCGTTAAAAGAGAATAGATTAGTACATGCACACATAGAGCTAAACATTTAAACAGATACACTTTTCACTTATTTTGTGCTTGTTGGGACACACAAACTCCAACGTATTCTCAGGGTTTATCACAGCTCGATCTCCGCAATCACACAGAGGAGGTTCCTCGAGTCGTCTAAATGCGACTAGGTGCTTCTCCTTAGCCGTCATTGGTGGGGGTTAGGGGGAGGTGGAACCCACTGCTCGAAGTGCTCACGTGGATGTCTCCCTCTCCCCCGATCATTGAAAAGGATGTATCTTGGGTCAAACTTGTCTGGATCGTCGATCCACTGAAAGAAAAAGCACCTCTCATGGTCCTACACAACAAGATTCCACCAAAATATTAGTAAACTACTAACACAAATGGAGAAACAATGATACGGAGACAATTACTTACATTAAAACGATTGCATGTGTAGAAACAACGTGCAGCTATGTATGGATGTCTCGATTAAAACACGTGGGCCGCGAAACCACAGTCACAGTTAGGGACAGGGAGGTCAGGAGGGACGGGGCATCTTTGCTAGACACGTCGAGGGTATAATTCTCTAGGACGACCCCGTTTTCGCCACAACTACTCCCGATACATGTCTTGCATCTAACAAAATGGTTGAAATTTAACACCAATCAAAACATCGAAAATTAATGTACAAGGAGAACCATTTGCGTTACAACTAAAAAATAACCGCCACATATGAACAAAAATATATCTTACACTAAACTTGGTAAACATACTTCTAACTAACTATTTAACCTTAACAATGTCAAAATCGAAACTAATATTTACCTCCAAACTCTAGCTACCCATAGTTCCCAAATATACTTTTCCTTCAAGCCCTAACTACCAATCATAATCTTTGAATCCACCATTCAAACAATAAAGATGCGCACCATTACCTTGACCGAGGCCGAGGAAAAGCTTGGGGGCAGGGAGGGACGGAGGCGGACAGGGAGGGCCAGGCGGTGGCCGGCGTTGGGAGAGGCTAGAGGCGCAGGCGCGGCCGCCTGAGACTTCCCTCCCCCTCTGTTCGAAGTAAGGCAGAGAGAGGGAGGGAGCCTTCGGCTCGACATTAAGTCAGATCTTGCCGCGACGTGCTGGATGGTGCGGCACTGCCGCGCCAAGATCTACGGTGCAGCAGCGCCTCCCACGTAAGGGTCGCGGCCGGATCGCTGCCACGTCACCACTGTTGTCACGCCGCGGCGCGGCCAAACGTGTTAGATTTGAAAATAAAAAATAAACAGTGTCAAATTTGAAAATAGTTTTTAAAAAGTGTTAAAAAATCGCCATGTGCCCATGTGACAGAAAGTTGGTACTGATCGTGGTGCTAAACCGCACGATCAGAAGAACAATGGTTCCGGTCCGAGATAGACGCACAAAAAGACTTGCGTGCCAGGGCACTCAACAGTCCTGAGATACTCCCCTTTTTTTCTAAATTATACACTCCCTCCATTATAAATTATAAAATGTTGTGTCAAGCACTCTCAAAATTAAATTCTGATAGAACGCAGAAAAAGATTTGCGTGCCAAGACACTCAACAGTACTGAGAATCTTAAATCCCTTTGTTCTATAAATTATATACTCTCTCCGTTATGTATAAATTATGAAATGTTGTGTCAGGCACTCTCAACAGTATAAACAGTTAGATATATTATTTTAACTATGTCTAGAAAAAAACAAATTGTCTTATAATTTGGAATAGAATTTAAAATGAGTAGTTACTAGCTCTAAGCAGCTCATAATATAAATAGCCACACACCCTCACATGATCTTAGAGCGTGTATATAAGACTAACTCTTAATCAAGAGATAAGTTCTTTCTTCTATTCAAATATAAAATATATACTTAAAGCTATTTCATGAGTAATGGTGGTGCTCTAATCTAATTGTTAAACTGCACATCAAGAGAAACTAAAACACTTTTTGGATCAACATGATCCAATAAAAATCAACAAATATATCTGATATAACTTTTCTGCCTCCGATGGCTTAAGATTCATCAAAACAAAGTGTACAATTGTTTAGCCAATTTGGAGTACAATTACAAGTCACTATTATTGATGAAGCATCAGCGTCGCAGTACTATATTTATCTCGTCATCGTCTGAGCTGACCGCATCAAGCTCAACGATATTCTCTGTAGGATTGTTCACCTTTCGCCTTTTAACATCCTGTTGTGGTTTCCTCAATCCCTGCTTGGGCAGGGCTTTGGCGCCAGATGATGACAAACTACAAACCAGAAGCTTGCTCATTTTGATGTCGTTGATCATCAAAACATAAGACCATTATAAGCATACCACAGCATATTGTGACTAACCTGTTGTTTAAGCTAACCTTCAATTTCTGTTGGTTCCTAGAGCCGTTGATTGGGGCTTTTGGTTCCATATTGTCCGTATTAGCTGAATCATGTAACCAGGAGTTTATCGACCAATAGTCAGTTATGCTGTTTTACGAATTTGGTGCTACTTTGTTTAGAATGATGACTATACTTATTATAAAGGGGAAAATAGGTTACCTGTAACATGGGAAAGAAATCTTATACCCTGAGACTGGTTCTTATTAGTTACTCTATCTGCATTGCTGCACAAGCAAAATCAGAGTTTGAACATAACACAATCATTTCAAACTATTCCAAAGGCTACTGCCATACTGCATAATTTAATTAGAAGCAGATCTACATGCAATAAAAATTCCTGTTAGATATTAGGCAAAACATTCCTTGTGCAGTTCAATAGATAATAGCACTATATGACATTAGATAATCTCCATAACAACAAAATTGGCTTATGTTTATGTTTCCACTTTAATGACAACCTTCATATACCACAACCCCAGTGCAATGACCACGAACAAATGGTTCTTTAAGAAAACACAATGGTAATAATTTTTGTGGTCATACACCAACCAAAATTGAAAGAAAAAAAAAACAGTGAATACAGACTAGTCAAATATTATGTGCGTTAGATATGGCATCATAATTTGTACATTCACAATATTGTCCGATCAACATTGAAGTGCTCTTTTTTATCAAAGAGAAAGGGGGAAGGGTGACCAACTTAACAACCAGTATAGTAGCCCAACACATCAATTAAAGATAAAATTGTGCTTTACATACCTTAAAGCCCTTTTTAGCCCATCAATTGACATTACTTTCACCGGTTGGAATGAATTTCTTGGATTGGGTCGTTCTGAGGAAGGATTGACCATGTAAATCCCTTCAGATTGAAGTTTGGAAGCAAATTTGAAATTTCTGGAAAGATTCCATGGGGAAAAATCATTTGTATATAAGCAAGAATGGCATGGAACAAGAAGATTCTTGTAACAATTATATCAATCAACCAACAAAAGAACGTAAGGTGTGGGATCATTAAGGAAAGTCCTAGCCCACTCCTTTTAAGGTTTTACTTACCCGCCCTTAAGCTCTACTCTGCCAGTAGTGTACTTTTGTGATGTTTTCTGCGTAAAGAAAAGAAGCATGATGAAATCATGTTGCATGCATATCCATCTCTTAATACAAGTTGCTGAAAGCATAATGAAATAATGTTGCATGCATATCCATCTCTTAATACAAGTTGCTGAATGTTGATGGTTATATCCTTACCGACGAATGAAATTTGCAGTATGATACTTTACTCCTGAAAAGAGAGAGAGAACTCAGTCACAGAACAGCGTATTAATAAATTCTTATGATTGAGACATGGTACGCAGGAGATGCTTTATGGGCAGTCTAAAACGGCAAAGACATGGACGGATAGACCCCATCTAGCTGAGGGTACAAGTCTGGCAGCAGGAAGGCAGGCACATAGCCACATAAGAAAAATGTGCTGCATTAGCACATCACACTTTGTGCCGATATCTGTGAAGTGATGTGGTGATCATTGATCACAAAAGCTTCTCATCGCTTCTATGTACATTGTTGTCCCGAAAGTTATCTATGTTACTGAATTAATGATAATGAGGCTACTACTGAAATATCAAGACATATTCTCACAGGGTCGAGGTACATACTTATTTATAGCCATAGTGCACGCCACCCCATCTTTCCTCTTGCCTTTGCAGAGACCAAAGTCTGCTGCAACCCCCATCTTCAACATCTGCCCCACTGAAGCAACACTCAGAGAGAACCCTTTGCCCTGCACAACAGCATCACCAACACGCACTCAAATCAGCAACGGGGTCACTGAGCACAACTCATCCAAGCGGTTAAGAAAATCAAAATGTCAGCCGGGAAGTACCCCATTGTCCATGCGGACATTGCCATTGAACACAGCGAACACTGAACCCACAGCAGCGCCGGAGTAGTGAACGTGCGCGTCCCCAAACAGGAACAGAGATACGTCGGTCTCGTCCAGAGCGCCCATCTTCCAGATGCTGTAGCTGCTCCCCTTCGCACTCACCCGCGGCACGCCCTTGTCCAGCACCACGCCCGCGGTTGCCCAACAGCCGGAGAACCTGTCGCTCCCCACAGAGTTCCTGCACGCGGAACAGAAAAGGGAAGAAAATCCCCCCCGACGAATCGATGAGCAAAGACCATGAATGACCCAGCAGCGGGGTGAATTGGAAAAGGATCCTCACTTTAGCGCGGTGATGCGCACAAATCGGATGTCGGCGAAGCGGTTGCTAATCTCAAGGGGCGAGAGCGTGAGGTGCTTGATGCGGAGGCCGGAGTATTTGTCGACGAGGGTTTCGGTGGCCTTGGGCCGCTTGGGGCGATTGGCAAGCGGGGATGTGGCTTCGGGGGGCGCCTCGAGGTAATCCTTGACGGCGTCGCGGAAAACGGACATGTCGGTGCCGCCGGGGCGCACCGTCCTTGGTGGTGTGAAGGCGCCGTCGCACACGGGGCCATCGGCGGCGCGGGGGGAGGCGGGAGGGGTCTCCGGGACGGCCTCGCCCAGTGAGAGCAGGAGGTCCAGGTCGTCGGCGGCGTTCGCCATCGTGGCGGTGAGGTGTGTGGGGACAGCGGGGCACTGAGGAATCAGGAATCTGGATTCTGGAGTGTGCGAGGTGGGAGAGAGATGTAGGAGGAGGCCGGAGGGTGCGAGGGAAACGAGAATTCGGAAGGGGAAGAGTGAGGAATTTTGGAGGGAGAGGGGATTTCACAGGCAGACATCTCCCGCTCCGTAGGGCCATCGTTTGGATCGTGCCATCGTAAGATAGGGAGAGCGGGAATGGGAAATAGGGTAGCGTTTGGATCCTATACAATTCCTGAACGATAATGCTAGTATCAAGACGTTTGGAAGTCTGGACGTCTCGCTGCTGCCTGCCGCTTGCGTCGCTCGTCTAAATAAATAAATAAACAAAATCAACTTCTGGTCGTCTAGCCTTGCTCCGCTTTGCTTCGCATGTACCGCCTGCCCAACGAGCTCCTCTATCTCGCACTTCCTTGCTGCTCCTCTCTCTCTCTCTCGCTTGCCCACCTTGCCACGTGTCCTCCCATACCCGGCGGCTCTCTTCCCCCACCCTGACGCCCCCCATCTCAACGTCCTCACCCACTAGGAGCCCCAATGTCGTAGATCGGTGGCCCTCTCCCCCATCCCGGTGAGATCCATGGAGGTGGCGAGGCGGTGTTGCAGGGGACAGGACGGCTCTCCTCCACTACGGCGCGACGCCCTCCTTACCCCCGACGACGTTCTCCCTCACCCCGGCGACCGAGCTCCCTCTACCCCGGCGGCCATGGTGGTCCTCGCCCCATCCCCCGTCATCGCCACTAAGCCAAGCCCGGTACCAGTGACGCTGGTGGCGCTGGTGCTCGCGCGCAGCCGCTTCCCGCCGTCTCTGACCCCGACGACCGGAATCGATCGGCCCAACCTTCCTCTCCCCTATATTGCATATGTATGTTTCAAGTGTTTCAGACGTATCATATGTATGTTGCAATTGTTTCATATGGATGTTGTAAAAGTAGATTGGGGATGCTGCACATGTTGCATATGTTGTAATTGTTTCAAAGGCATGTTGCAAGCGTATGTTTTGAATATTTCAGATGTTTCAGAGATATGTTTCATTTGTGTTTTCCGGACGCATGTTGCAAGTGTGTTTATCTGGATGTTGCATATGTTTCACACATACGTTGCATGTGTGTTTATTTGGATGTTGCGTATGGCTGCAATGGCTTTCAAGTGTTTTTCGTGTGTTTTTTAAGTGTTTCATCTACCTTCAAACGTATGTTGCAACTGTTGTATTTGGATGTTTTAAAAAGCAGATCGAGTGTTGCATCTCTCCTCCCCACCTTCTGCTGCATTGTTTCGGTGTATCCTCCTCGTGGCATCGGCAGGGCATCCATACGACGTCGTGGCCCGATCCTTTCGAATCGGAGGCGCTGAGCCACTTCCCCTCTTGTCGCTCGGGTAGCACAGGCCCAGCAGAGCGCTAAACGTACAACGCTTAGTACAACGTATGGGCTTCCGGACGTCTGGCAAATGAGCCACTTCCCCTCTTGGAGTACAAGGCCCAGCGTGGGAGCTGGCTGAACGCAGTACAACGAATGGCTTCCGGACGTCCGGAGGCTAGCACTCCTGTTCTTAGAGCATCTCCAAGAGTACCTAATATTTTTTCCTAAAAACATAAAGTTTTACGACTCCTAAAAAAATTGGAATGAATAAAGAAGACCATCTCCAATAGTTCATAATAATCCACTCCTAAAATATTGAAGACAATTTTAAATGAGGAATCCTATACTATTTTAAAATTATCCTAACCACTTTTATATATTCTTTCTCTCTTGTACATTTGCATCATGAATTCTTTTCTTCTCTTTATTCTTTTCACGCCCTTTCACCTTTAGATTGACCGACAACAAACATGCGAGAGAGAAGATACGCGTGACTCGAGAGCCCATAACTTTACGCGCAGAAAGTGATTTTTCCCAAGTTTTTAAAATTTAGGAGGATGGATTATGAGTTGTTGAAGAGGGGTTCTTTATTATCTTGCTAAAAACCAAGGATTATGAAAGGATTTAGAGAACTCTTGGAGATGCTCTTATAATCCATCCAAATAATCTCAAATCTTTAAATCACATCCAAACACCCCAGGATTCTAGAGTATTTAAAACACGGACACGTAATTAAAGAGCATCAGAGATTATTTTTATCCATAATCTGATCCAAACGGGCCAAGGTGTCGAAAAATTTAGTAAAATGACACGTAGTAGTTTTCGTTGTTATTTGGCAATTAGTGTCCAATCATAGTCTAATTAGGCTTAAAAGATTCATCTCGTGGATTTCGTCTAAACTATGTAATTAGTTTTATTTTTTATTTATATTTAATACTTCATGCATGCGTCTAAAGATTCGATGTATGACAGAAAATCTTGAAAAATTTAGTATTTTGGGAGGGAACTAAACGGTACCCAAAGAGAGACGGAATGCTAATCCGTTGTTTCTTTGGTTTATGCGAAAGGGAGAGGGAAATGCAGATCTAACTTTTCCACTAATTTTATTATCCCGTCGGCAGAGGTAATTTATGACTGGGAAAAGTATGGGCTGCGTGGTGTGGAAAAAATATACGGTGTAAACCACATCTTAATTGTAAATATGCAAATTATTGCAAAAATTGTACTTTAGTCATTTATTTTTTTTAAACTTGGTACATCTATAGTACATTCATATATGTACTCATGTACTGAGATGCAAAATTAAACTACAAAAATCATATGAAAATAACAAATTTTAGGTGTATACGACACTACAAGACAAAATTTCTATGCTAAAAAAAACGCACTAGGGGAGAGTACTCTAGAGTTCTAGAGTTGCTCATTTTTTTTGTGGTTGGATGATAAAATAATTACCGAGGCATAGAAAATAGGGCCTAAAAATAGGAGCATCCCTTAAATCTCTAGTATCCTGTTTTTGGGATCATGGTTGGAGATACTCTAGATATACAATGCGTTACTTCATTTGAGTAGTGAACATGAACGATATGATCTTGCTATGTCCAAGTACATACAATACGGATGTATTTAAAAAAGGTTATGTTTTGGTATTACTATGAAAGGTCTACTTTGAGGTTTGCTTAGGCTATGATAAAAGGCACTCTATTGAACAAATATCAAAATGGAGTAAACATATGTAGCTGACAGATTGAATGTGTGATAGAAGACCTTGTGCTAGCAAACAAAGATTTTTTTTTTATTGTTGTTGTAGAACGCGGGCACTCACTTATGCATATAAAGACGTTACGCACAGCTTACCCCTATAATAACCTACATATCTTGACATTGGTGAAGCCATCATAGCCTGTAGGACCCCTGTTGTCGACAGGCAATTAATGGCTCCGTTCGCTGGTTTGAAATTTAGCTGAAAAACACTGTTCCGGCTGATTTGTTGTGAGAGAAAAACACTGTTCGGCTGAATGGATGAACAGTGTGGCGTGAGGGGAACCAGCCAGCTGGCTGGTTGCATCCATACCAGCGAACACCACCAATGTCGTCTAACCCCAATGGACAAGTTACACTACAAGAAACCTAACCAGCTGAATGTAACTTAGTTCACAACCCAAAATTATTTAGCCATTGAAATAAGAGAAAATGATTCCAAAAGGCACAGATAGTCAGATACAAATAAGTTGTCTTCATACATTGTCCTATGCATTGACCAATAATAAGTTGAAATTTGACCTATTCTCTGTACATAACGAACGAAGGACAACATGCACAATATTTGCAGTATCAAAGCTATTGGATCACACTCATTTGCAATATCTCAATTAGGGTATTGTTTTACTCGTCTCTCATTTTTTTAGCGGAATACTCATATCCATGTTGCAGGATGCAGGAAGCAATCAGTAAGTCCAACTCCAATCTCCAACAGTCTTTTGGTCAAAAGTTAGGAATGCTCTAAGATCTATACTACCAATCATGGTTATTCAACATCTATATATATTGTGATGGTTACATGAAACAACACGACACAGAAGGAAAGAGGGGGAAACACACATCTTTGGTCTGATCAGCATCTACCCTTCACTCATTTCATGTTAGTTCCCGATCAAGCATGTTCCAATCACATTTCAATTGCAATGGCAGACCAATGGGTCATAAGCACGAGTGCCAAACCGAAGGGATGAACAAACAAACAAGCTGAAACGTCAATTAGCAGCATCCATCTTGTTATTCTCAGGCACCCTTCTTGCCCCCTCTGCATCTCACCTGCACCCCCAGTGTGGCAGTTGTTGATTGGCAGTTGATGTCCGCGCCGTACACTGTGTGATCCACAGGCAGCATGCAGGATGGCTTGCCGAGGCATTCCTGTCCATTCCGTTCCACATGTCAGTATCAATCAAGAGGCCAAAATGTGATTTGTGAGTGTGATATAGTAGTTCAACAAACACACATCATCGTGAAGAAGCGTGTACCTTCTCAACGATCTGCTTTGCATTGGGAGTGTGGCAAGTGCCTACAGTGAAGTTGCCGCACGTGCCATCCGGGTTGCCGAAGCTGGCAAAGACGACTTCCTGGATTGTCTTCTCAGGGGGGCACATCAAGATGCCCCGCCTGCTGTGATCCTCTGCAATGAGCTTGATTTTGTCCCCATCCGTGTCCCACGTCTTTATCTGTCCCGGGTTGTGCTCCGAGATCAGCAGGCATACGTCGTCTCTCGTCACGGTCTGCACGAGGATGCCATCCGGCTTGCCCATCTCCTCCTCGAAGACAACCAAGAGGTTGTCCTTGGGTTTCAAGAAAGGACGCGGGATATGGTATCTGAAGGAAGAGTGGGAGAGGAAAATGAAGTGACTTTTTGTTGTAATGCTTGTAGGCCAAGAACAGTACACCTGCCTCATTAAGGTTAACTCTACAGACTTACACTGCTTGAGAAGGAGTTCCAGCAAGAGTTCGGAATGAGACCCAGTATCTACCCACGCCTTCACCATTCACAAAAATCATTCCCTTGCTCATTGAGCTCATGTCAAGTACAACGGGATCATCTCCATCTGGCTCATCAAAGTATCTCTAGCATGGCAGTGTACATAGTGACACCGAGGGCCAGGGTTGCAAACAAAATTGAAATAGATGTTTGATGTTTCCAAAATCTATAGTGCTCCTATTTGTGGTTCAACTTACCTTATACCAAGTGGCTGCCCGGTCATTCTCAGCCGGTTTCCACTGAACTTTGCCCACACCTTTTTCTGAGTAGATCTCCTTGTCCTCACCTTCCAGTGCAGCCTATTTGAAACGAAGTGTAGAGGCAATCAGGTCCCACACGATGACATTCATGCTTCCAAGGAAATGAGTTTTTTTTTTGGAAAGTTAAAGACAATAGCCTTACCTTATGGCCCCAGCCATTGACTTGTAAATCCAACGTCCCAGTGTTGAGACCTTGGATTAGGCACTCCTGAATGCCGCCCTTTACTTCAGCAAGTTCACCACCACTGTCCTGCAGAAGATAGTGAAACATGCAAATTTAGAGCTGATGGGCAGGGTTATTGCATTAGCTGGGCGCATGGGCCACCCTTCTATTTATGATATAAACTACATATGTCTGCCTTTCAAAAAAAAAGTTTTTGTATCTTGCGTCAATACAACCATATTTTTTCACCTGGCTATCGACTAGGACAGTATAGTCAGTCATCGTATGTTCCAAACACATTCCACAGTTCTGACAAATTTTTACCTTCATTCCCATAGTTGACGACAGCAATACGACATGGTTCACACCTACTTTCAGATCAACGGGTTTTTCAAACATGAAATCCTTCACCTGCTTGTTTCCGCGCACACTTCCTACATAGAGAGGGATTTTGATTTGTACAATAGTTTTACTTGCATTCTTGCAACAAGCGAGTGTCTTTGGAGGAAGAAGATTGTTACAGAGTTGGTCCAAGTTACCTACGAAAGCATCATTGGCAAATCCAGTCATTGAGTGTGCACTACTTTTGACCTGAAGCACAGGCCGGATGTCACCTCTAAAGGGCAAATCGTCCGACTCCAAGCGAAAGCTGAAGATGGTAACAAATAAAAATTTAGTCAAGTGAATTTTAAGATCGAGAAAGAATAAAGAATCACATTGAGCTGAAACTGTAAGGTGTGACAGATAAGAGTGATACCTTGTGGTGTACCATAAGTAGTCACTAGCGTCCTTGGTCTGGTTATATTGCTCCAGGGGCTCCTTTGTCCTGACTTTAGTATCTTTATACTTCGGGACCGTTTCTGAGAACATCTCCCACTGGTTATTCTTGCTTGTTACGTCTGAGGTATGGTATGACCTTTCACTGTGTTGTACAAACACCTGCCATAACAAACAATATACAAATTAGGGCCCAATGTCTATGTTCCTAATTCAGTTGTGGTTAAGTGCAAACAAACATACTCTCTTTGTATTGTAGACCACGTTCTTGCACCCTGCAAGAATGGAGACAGAACGGCTAGCCACATAGTGCTTATCCCCTCGGAAGATCACTGTTCCATCTTCCCCCGTGTTGTTGTTGGAAAGGAAAGAGAGACATAGGTTTTCTTCAGGCAACTCAAAGATTTGTGCCTGCAATATAGAAAATTAATAACAACACCAAAGAAGATATTTCTTTCAAAAAAAAACACCAAAGAAGATTGATTTGTAGGTCGGAGAACACTGTCAAATAATAATATAAGTTTCCAGGAACCAAAATGATTGAAGAAGTTGTTCCCAACCTCATACCCATGACCCAATATCTCAGACGAATGCTTCCCCGAGAGGAATGCTTTCTGATATGACCTTATTACATTGTGCAAGTCCCTGAGATGCCCAAATTTGGGCTCCTTGTACATACCTATGAAAATTCACAGACTACATTAGGTGCTCCTTATGTCAAGAGGAGCATACATGATGAAGATAAAAAATAATACAGAAATATAATGGTCAACTGAGGCGATCTGACCATATTCATCCAAGGGAGCTTCATCATAGTATCCAGTCAGCACATAAGAAGCGCCAGTCCTTCCAAAATTTGTTCCTCCGTGATACTGTTGACAAGTTAAAGTGAAATTCCATAAATCGCCACATTTCCCCTGTAAATGTTTATTAACATATTCATTGCAGGAACAAAAAGTAAATCCATACCATGTAGTAGTTAACCATTGACCCACCCTTTGCAAAAAATCGTAACACAGCATATGCAATGTCCTCAGCTGAACGCATAGCTAATTGATCGCCGTATGCTCTGAATCTGTGTATGCCCAGGAAAATTAGACGAAGAGATTAATCCTTTGTGTATGTACCTTCTGTATTCGTAGGGGGATGAGCTCCAAATGTTTACAGAATGGAGAATTCCCTTTTGATATAAGCACTGTTTGGCATAGCGGTGGTACTTTAAAAGCACTTATTTGATCCTAATTTTGAATGCAGGTTTTAGTTAAGAGCACCTTTTATGGATATTAACAAAATAAATATACTAGAATTAGTAAATGTTGCCCAAAATAACTATATTCTATAGCGCAGTGGACCCTTAGAGGTTTAGGTTTAGTTGGTGCGCAGCCAGATTGCTTTATTGTGTTTATGGGTCCATCTGCTAACTGATGAGATGTATGCTTTACTGTTCAACTCTATCTTTTTATATTCTACAATATACAGGTATGAACATTTTCGCTCAATCAAACAGGGGGTGGAACCTCTGATTCGGACATAAAATACAAATTTCACTTCTTAAAGGGAATAGGGAGAATGGCTCAAGGTTAAGATGCTGCAAGAATCGATACATGCAGGGATGCAAGTGGGCACCCAATTGTGTTTTCTAGGTCAGCTAGTCCCCCTAAATTAACTATGTGGCGAGACATTTTACTTCATTTTATAAAAGTTTTGGGTCTAAGTAGCCTTTTGTAAAGTAAACTGTAAAGTTTTGGGTATGAACATTGTTGTACATTAAGGACATGTACAACAATGTTGTGACTAGTGTTCGAACAAGTGATGGAGACACGGATGACTTCTCGATTAGGATAGGACTACATCAAGGGTCAGCTTTGAGCCCTTATCTGTTTGCCTTAGTGATGGATGGGGTCACAAGGGACATACAAGGGGACATCCCTTGGTGTATGCTTTTCGCGGACGATGTAGTGCTAGTTGATGAAAGCTAGACAGGAGTGAATCAGAAACTGGAGTTATGGCGGGAGACTTTGGAGTCCAAAGGTTTTAGACTCAGTAGAACTAAAACTGAATATATGAGATGTGACTTCGGCGCTACTACTCGGGAGGAGGAAGATATTAGTTTGGAAGGTCAAGTAGTGCTTAGGAAGGATACCTTTCGATATTTAGGATCAATGCTACAGAGAGACGGGGATATTGATGAAGATGTTAATCATAGAATCAAAGCAGGGTGGATGAAGTGGCGCCAAGCATCTGGTGTCCTATGTGACACAAGGGTACCACAAAAGGTAAAAGGCAAGTTTTATAGGACGGCGATTAGACCTGCTATGTTGTATGGTGCAGAATGTTGGCCTACGAAAACTCGACATGTTCAACAGATAAGTGTCGCGGAAATGCGTATGTTGCGTTGGATTTGCGGTCATACAAGAAGGGATCGAGTTCGGAACGATGATATACATGATAGATTAGAGGTAGCACCAATTGAAGAAAAGCTTGTCCAACACCGGTTGAGATGGTTTGGACATGTCCAACGGAGACCTCCAGAGGCACCAGTGCGTAGTGGAATCCTAAGCCAGGATAGTAACGTGAAGAGAGGCAGAGGAAGACCGAAGTTGACTTGGGTAGAGGCAATAAAAGGAGACTTGAAAGGATGGAATATACCCAAAGACTTAGCCTTAGATAGGAGTGCTTGGAAAACAGCTATTCACATGCCTGAACCTTGATTGCTTCTGCTGGGTTTCAACTCTAGCCTACCCCAACTTGTTTGGGACTTAAAGGCTTTGTTGTTGTTGTTGTTGTTGTGTGTTGTGTGTGTTTGTAAGGGTTCTCACCCCTTTTCTTCTTAATGCAAAGAATCGCAGATCTCCTATGTTTTTGAGAAAAAATGGTTTTGGGTCTACCCAATGACCCAAACACAAGTGGAACTTGCATCCCTAAATGAAAGGTAACCACACATATGAATGTGCAACATGTTTCTTGGAATGGCCATAGCTCACAAGTTCATTAGAACATTAGATTTTCTTTCTATAAACAGCGCTATATATTTCATCTCACTCAATTCTTCCTATTGTGTACCTTCCATAAGTAGTAATGTTGGCTCATAATATTGGCTCCTGCCATTGCTTTCAAAAAGTAATGTTGGCCCATAATATTTGTGTAATTGGTGAAAAAGATGAATGTTGAGTGTGAATTACTTGAACTTACTGTTGAGTCCAATTCTCAGTCCAAAGCATAGGCTTATTTTTGTCGCGCAGTGTCCATGTGTCTCCACAATGCCTTCCATTGCAAGTAGGGATCTAGTGAGAGCAAGAAATTAATTAAAAGATTGAGCTGAAGTAACTAGACCCTTTCAATAGAAAGTAGACGGTCACTTCTAAGAGATTAAATGTCGTTCCTGTTCTGAATAGTATTTTGTTACTATTTTCAAGATAGAATTTGCAATAAAAAACTTGTGAACCATTAAAAATGTATACAGATATTCACCACTGATCAGAAAGTTACCACTTCACCAGGAGCTGAAGACTGCTTGCACATTATCCATGGAACTCCTGTTTGTGTGCTGAGGGCCATTTGAGCTGCCCATTCAAGGTACTTGTCACCGTCTGTTGCATGATCTTTTTTTATGTTCCCATACTCATTCTCGATCTGATGTATTTGTGCAAAGGGTAAATCACAGCGTGTATTATGTAAATATGGTGCCAATAAAGAGGATTTAACAAATAACGCGAGTAAATTGGGAAATGAAGGACCTGTGTTAAAATGATGGGTCCTCCTTGAGATGCAAATAACTCAGCATCCTTCAACTTCTGCACTATGAATCTCGTCCATTTCTCCATTTCTTTCTGCATGAAAAGTCCAAATGCCATTAGTCCAGAACTCTACATGCATATCCTTGTTAGAACCATGGATAGGGAATTCCTTGATTACCTTGTACGGATCATTGTTTGCCCGGAATATTATGTGGTCGATCTCTCTAAGCCAATAAGGCAGACCACTGGAAGAAAGTAGAGAAATGGCATAGAAGAAGCACAAAACAATCAGATCGATATGAGCATACTTGACAGAAGAGTGGTAATTAGTTGGACGCACTGACCCATGGTTCCATTCTGCCTGGATGAAGGGCCCGATGCGCACAATTGCATACATGTCATGCTCCTGGATCATCTTGAGGAACTTGACCAAGTCGAGCCTGCCTTCAAAATTGTACTGCAAGGCATGCAACAGATGAGCTACATTTACATCTATTTGTCGGTCTAATATAATATACAGCAGAAGAGAGATTCAGGACGTCATGCTCCTTAATTTTGCTGCGGTTGGTTACCAACGCGTCCATCTGAATATATGTCCTTTACCTTGCCAGGCTCAGGCTCGTGTGCATTCCAGAATATGTACGTCTCGATCGTGTTGAGGCCGCCCTCCTTGGCCCGCTCGAGCAGCTTCGGCCACACCTGCATTACAACAGTACATTTCCTGGATCAACCAACCAGCCGACCGGCAGCAGCACGCCGCGACTGCATTTCGTTCGGTTCATCGGCTAGGGAGTCGCGCGCGTGGGAGCGTACCTCAGGCGGGCTCCTGGGGTAGTGGATGGCGCCGGAGAAGAAGAGGTCCCGCTTGCCGTCGATCATGAGAGACCGCGCATCGTAGGTGACGACGCTGCCCTTCTTCGTGAGGGTCCACTCCGCCGCCGCCCATCCCGGGAGGAGGAGCGCGAGCGCGGCGGCGGCCACCAGCACGGCCGCGGCTCGGACGGTCATGTGAGCCGGAATTGCGGGAACGACAGGGGAGAGGGGGACGGGAGACGAAGGGCAGGCAGGAGAGGGGAGGCGACGCTAGCGAGGGGTCGGGGGAGGAGGTGACCGCTTTGAAGGGGACGGGCTCGCGGAACGTTGCGGTGGAGCGGACGCGCGGAAATGGAGGAGCTGCGAGTGGAGGTGGGACGGCCGCGGGGCGCTGCTTGGTCGGGCATCGCGGCAAAAGCTTGCGAGCGGACGACCGATTCGCGGGACGGCGAGCCGGGTGGAAGACGACGTTCGTGCGCTGGTTTTGCGCAGGGGTCGGGCGTGGTGTGTCTAGTAGACTCTACTTCTGGACCGCCATGGGCCATGGCCAACTTGGGCTTTATACATAGCACAAAGCTCGGCCTTCGTGAGACGGTAAGACCTGATCTTAAGGACAACCTCAACAAACAAAACCCTATTTTTCTGCCCTAGAAAGCCCGTAGGGCTCCTCCAGAGAACCACCGTCCACGTCACTCCCATTTCTGTCCTCCGTCCGATCTTCCAATCGACGACAAAGATCGCTTGCAGCGGATTTCCGCCTGCAGCCACTTCTCCTGCTTCTGGTTAGCTTTTCTCGCTTCTCCCCTGCTTCTTCCGCTTCTCGTTAGAATCCAGAGAATCAAATATATATTGGAGTTTTCGCTTCTCCTTCCTGATTCTTCTTCTCACCCCCTCCTCTCTCTCTCTCTTCGCTCTTTCTCCCGACGCAGAGCACGCAGGCGTGACGGTGACGGCCAAGGCTTGGCCTTGTGATGGCGTGGCCCTCCTCCTCCTCCTCCTCCTCCCTCTCCTGCCTCTCATCTTCGTTTCTCCCTCCCCTTCCTCTCCCCCAGATGCGCCCCCTGATGCGGTAGCGGGCGGCTCCCCACGTGCGTGCGGCCGGCCCGAGGCGGCACGCCGGTGCCTCCACCGTTCCCTCCCCCACCCTCGCGTGCTCTCCCTTTCTCTCTCCCGATGACCGCGGCCGCATCTGCTACGAGGAAACCCTAGGTGCCAGTCTTCATCTCTTCCTCTCTCTCTCCCTCTACCTCAGGCGCGGACCCAGCCCCAACACGGGCGGCGCGGCCTCCCTCTCCCTCTCCCTCTCCCCATGTCGCATCGCAACGACCACCCCCCCCCGGCCGGCCTCTGGTGGTGGGCGCAGCCACGCCCAGGAACTTCACAAATGCAGCAATGAACTCGAGCAGGACAACAGGCCTTTTCTAGAAAAAGAAAATGTCTACGGATGAACAAGATGACGTGTTGCTTGCAGGTCGTCCTCGTCTCCTTATTTACATTGTCCTATTTTTTGCTCAACATGGTTTATTTGATTTCATACGTGCTTATACTTATTTGCAGTGTCTCTCATTTTTGGCCGAACAAGGTTTATTTGGTGTCTATTTTATAGCCTAAAATAATTCCTAAGGTTATGTCATGCCAATTTTGTCGTCCCTAGATTTTTTGCTGCTGAAAATTACTGAATGTTGGTATTGTGTCAATGCTAACATTGTCATAGTTCCAATGTTGTTCAAAACTTGCCTGTTAGTTCTCCGTTACGTGAAAGTTTACTTTTCCTTTCGGTTCCCTGTCGGGCCCATTGGTATTACTGCAGTGTAATTTTGTTTTCGCCATATGATCTATAGAAGACGATTTTTCTTCGCCGCAAAAAAAACATGTTCTGTTTAGTTGCTAAACAAAATTCAGAATCTATTGTTTCTCTACACAAAGAGGATGCAAGTACTCTTCCCATACACTACATACCTTTGCTTATTTGTTACTGAAAGTGCATTTGCCCCCTATGTGGGTTTTGGTGTATTGATGACATCCAGATTAGGGACTAATGTGATCTTAATGAGATATGTCGCAGCTATTAGTCCCATGAAAGATTCAAAGAGTTGATAAAGATGAAATGGTATCCCTCAATTCTTGAAGTTGAAAAGACGGACGAACTCAAAATGCTCTCGAAAGGTTTTAATTTTGATTTTGAGTTTAGGATCCGCCGTACTATAGAGGGATAAAAAATTATTTGGTCTGAGGAAGATAGAGTGCTCAAGCATATTAATTAAATAAAAATTGGGATACTCTAGCACTTCACGAGCACATAGAATTATTTTCTGTAACTTTCGGTGTCGGAACTCCCGACGTAAGTTGGAACTCCCGACGGTCGGAACTCCCGACTTAAGCCAGGAGTCCCGGCACCTGTGCTTCTGACTGGCTCACTGTCTGTGCACGTCGAAAGTCCTGATGTTCGCCGGGAGTTCCGACCGTCGGAAGTCCCGACGTTCGCCGAGAGTTCCAACACTGACCTGACCCTTGCCGGGAGTCCCGGCAACTGCAGTGCTGGCTGTTTGGTTTACATGCGCACGTCGGAAGTCCCGACGTTTGCCGGGAGTTCCGACACTGACTTGCACGCGCTGACTTCCGACTCTTTGTGTACAGTGTTTTCTGTTATAGTCGAAAGTCCCGCGATCTGTGTCGGAACTTCCGACGTAGATCTGAACGGTTGGATTTTCACTTGGAGTATAAATACTCCTCTCTTCACTTCTAACCGTTACATACTCATTTCACAGTTGACTCACTTCATGCTGAACAGCACCCAAGCAACCAAAGCACCCCTCTCCTTCCCCCTTTGCTTGAATCTTCGATTCCCTTAGGGTTTGAGTGAAAGGAGAGTGGATTTAGTAAGAGCATCACGTTGGAAAGCTTGAGCACTTGATTTCTTCGTCAAGCCGGCTAATTTTGCGTCTATTACTCTTGGGGCTTTGCCCCTAGCTGGCTAGGCGTTGTCCTAGAGCTTCCATCTTGTGGAAGATCCTTGGGAAGTTTGTATCACCCTTCGATTTCTTAGTGGAAAGCTCAAGTGACCTTTGTGGTCGCTTTGAGAGAGGCAAGGAGGTGGAAAAGACTCTGACCTTGGTGGTCACCTCAACAACGAGGACGTAGGAGCTCCTTAGTGGGGTTATCGAACCTCGGGATAAATCCTTGTGTCCCGTGTGCTTGTTGTTGTGATTGCTAGAGATTATTTGTATATGTTTGTCTCTTTCCCTCCTAAACTTGCATTTTAGGGTTTGGACTCGATCTACGGTTTGGAGGCATTACAGCGTCAAGGAGTGATCTAACATCTTCACCAAACCACTAGGAAGTGAGGTTGTAAGTTTATTTATCCGCAAAGTTAAATTTGGCACTGCTTTTGTAGTTCACGTAGGCGTCGGAACTGCTGACGTTTGCGTCGGAACTTCTGACAACGTCGAAAGTTCCGACCCAAATGTCGGGACTTCCGACTGTGACTGACAGAATTGAACTTAGCATTTGCAGTAAAATTTTAGATACGCCTATTCACCCCCCCTCTAGGCATTATTAGATCCTTTCAATTGGTATCAGAGCAAGGTCTTCTCTTTGCGTTTCACCACGTGAGAAGAAACAATGTCGGAGTCCGAAAAGATGCAAGCCGTTGCCGCCGAGATGGCCAAGAAAATAGCTGAAGAGTTGATGAGTGCTCAAGCCAAGCTCTTTCAAGATGAAATGAAAAAGATGCAAGATGAGATGAGCAAGTTGAAGGAAGAATTGAGCAAGAAGGTTGATGATGCAATAAGTAGCAAGAATGATACTAGTGACAAGAATGAAGCAGACAAAGATGCCGCTAGTGATATTAGAGCCGGTCAGCATGCTCATGGAAAAGGAATATATTCACACATGAGTTTTGACTATGGATAAATCATGAAAGGTTCAACACTACATACTCAATCCGTCAACATTGGCAAGCCACCTCACTTTGATAGAACAAGATACACCGATTGGTCTTACAAGATGAAGATGCATTTCATAGCCGTAAGACTTTGGAAAGTTATGGATGTTGGTGTGATGATTCCTACCGATGAAGATAGAGAGATAACTCCGGAAGAAGTGCACAACATCCATCAAAATGCACAAGCCATAGCATTGCTTGTGTCAATTCTAGCTCTGGATGAGTTTAGAAAAGTGAATGGAATGAAAAGTGCAAAGCAAATTTGGGATACTTTGAAAGTATCATTTGAAGGAGATAAGAGTGTGAGGAAAGGCAACATTGAGTTACTTCATGGTGAATTAGAAAGATTTGTATTCTTGCAAAATGAAACAACACAATCCATGTTTGATAGGCTCATGGCATTGGTCAACCGCATAAGAGCCCTTAGAAGTATCGAATGGGATGACAACAAGGTTGCTAGAAAGATGTTGAGAACCTATAGAGCCAAGAATAACATGCTAGCGTCCGTGATCATGGAAAGGCCCGGTTATGATGAGATGACACCTCAAGAAGTTCTTTCAAAGCTCAAGCATCATGAGTGTCTAGATGAAGATGCAATCAATGCTCACAATCAAAATCCTAATGCAATGGGATTCAACAAGAGTGCAGCCCTTAAAGCAACTCAACAACATGAAGGTCAAGGTTCAAGTCAAGAAAAGAAGAAGAAAGTGAAGGATGATTCCTCAAGTGGAGAAGAAGATTCTGATGCGGAGGTTGCCTTTGTGATTAGAAATCTTAGAAAGTTTATGAAGAAGAAAAGCAATCGCAAGACCTATGGTGATGGTAAGAGAAGGTTCAAAAAGAGGTTTTGCTATGGATGTGGTCAAATCGGTCACTTCATAGCCGATTGTCCTAATGAGAAAAAGAAGCACAAGTATGACAAGGATGAAGACAAGAAGAACAAAGGCAAGAAGAGAGGTGAAGCTCATCTTGGGGAAGAATGGGAGTCAAGTGATAGTAACTCAAGTGATGATGAGAAAAAGAAGAAGGGAGCCGCAAACATCGCCATCCACCACTCTTCTTCACTGACCATGATCTTCCCCGACTCAACTTCACCGCCAAGACTCTTCTCCAACATATCTTCATCACCGAGGCTCTTCTCCAACCTCACCGACAACGACTACTACACCCCAACTTGTCTCATGGCAAAAGAGAAAAAGGTACATACTACACCCGTTTCATCTAGTGATGAGGATGATAGTTGCGATGACAA